GGGGGGGGGGTTTTAATTGTATGTTAAGTAGGGGGAGGAGGGGGAAAATCACAAAGAACGGTTTTCACGTTTTTATCCCCAAAAAAAAAGGAACCCGAGTTTTTTAATAAGTGAAATTTACTTTAAATGTGCTCGATTAAAAGTTTTTTGCTAAGGTTTTGGGTAACAGAAGAGGAAATTTTTTGGGTTTTAGTGTTACATAGGGGGACAGTTGGGAATTCCCGGGAAAAGGATGGGGGATGGACATGGGTATTAGGGATTTTCTAGAGAGATTTTGGGAGGGGAATACTAGGTTTAGATTTGGGTGAATCTTATGTGCGTGGACAGAGTTTTTCTTGGGGTTTGCTTAGAGAGGTTGGGGTTTTTTTGGGGAGGGGGTAGTGAGGGTGGGTGAACACCCGAATGATGGGGCAGAGGTAGGGACGGGCAAGGGGAGGTTGGGGTGAAAGTGACCAATGGAGAGGGTTTGAGACAGGGCTGCCCGATTCACGCTCCCTTTTGCGTTGTCAAAATCCTTTTTAGAGTCTTTTGAGGGGGAATGAAAATCGGGAGATGAAGGGGGGTAAAAGGGGGGCATCTTTGGGTATGGGGAATAACAACTTTTATGCTAAGGGTAGGGAGGAGTTAAGGAGGGGGGGCGATGATTCAATGTTTGGTATGAATACCGGAATGGATTTTAATACGGTGAAATCAAGGTTACGGGTCGGAAATTTGGGATAGGGGGGGGCTTGGGGATAGGTTGGGATGGACAGTGTTTGACAAATAAAGGTATGGGGGTTTGGTTTTTTGGCGGAAGTGCAGGCTGCAGAAAGGTAAATTCGGAGTCTGCCAAAGGGGTAAGGTTTTAAGTAGACTAGGAGTTTAAGGCAGGACTTAGTTTTACATAAAGGGGGTATGGTGGTAAATTCACTTGTCTATGCGGTAGGGGGGTGGCAGAGGTTTTTCCCTTAGGGGTACGAGAAAATTGTGGAAATGCAGGGGAGGGGCTGAATTTTGTGGGGGTTTTGGGGAGGGATGGTTAAGAAAGGGAGGTAGTATGACGGATTTCGGAGAGGGTTTGGGTTTTTTGCCTTTTAGGACGAAGTAAGGCGTATAATCAATGGAGGTATATGGGGGAAGGGGGTGTGGGGGGCGAAAAAGTGGGAAATTTGGGAGGGGGCCCGTAAATGGTGGAGTGGGGGGAATTTGGGGGTTTTGTAAAGATAGTTTAGATTTTTTTGACAGGCAACAGTTGGGTAAAAACAAGTGAAACGGGTTTTGAGGGAGTGAAAGGTCAAGGAATTTTCAAGGGGAAGCAGTGTATCCAACGTTGATTGGGGGGTTATTTGGGGAAAAATTTATAAGCTTCGGATACCGGCTAGAGACGAGAATTAAATATATAGGTTTAAACAGGGGGGTTTTGGCTTCCCAAGGGGGGTGTTTCGTAGTAGGGGATTTGGGAAGAGGGTTGTTGTCAGTTTTGTGGTGATGTTGAAAGGCGTTTCTTGGTTTTTTTTTTGACCCCTTGGAGGGGGGGAGATCATGGGGGGTGGGGGTTTTAAACGATGTTGGGGGGGGGTCTTTGTCGCTTTTAAGGGGCTTTACATAATGAGGGATGCCAGGGTGTTGGAAGGGCTATAATTAATCAATGGATATCTGGGCATTTTTATGGGGGAAAGAGGGGGTTAAGGGGTTTATATGAGGGTAAAACGTTGGGGGCCGATTCTTAGGACGAAGTGAGGAATAAATGGTTTATGGGGCGTTGGGAAAAAATTTTTGGGAAGGGTTTTAGGAATCTCATTGGTTCCCTTTGGGCGGGGGCCCCGAGGTGGACAAAGGAGTGGTCTCCTTATGGGGGGGGTTTTAAGGGGGGGGGGTTGTTTTTGTTTATCTGGAACGATGTGTGTAAAGGAAGGTAGTGAGAATTAGGTATGGATGGTAAGCCAGTTTTTTTAAAAGAATGTTTGTCATAAAGGGGATATAAGGGGGTTTTTCCCGGGTTTTCATTTCTAACCTGATGGTTATGTTCACTGGTTTTTAAAATTTTTTTTAAAGCCCGGATACGACCCCCCTTTGGATCTCGTTTTTTTAAAATTTAAATTACACGTTGGTATCAAAACAAAATTTTTCTAAGATACTGTCAGTCTTTTGGGCTGCACATTACAGCAGCCTTACTTTAACTACTCTAGTTTTATATTAGTCTCGGGTTCTTTTAAAAAATTTACATAGCCTAGATTGTACCGCTACTGGGATGTGGTATTATCTTGTATTTTAGGTGAACTACACTATATCAAATGTTTTTTTAATGTTTGAACAGGTTAACATTAATATTTGTATATATTGGGGGGGTATATACTTCTACTTATTACCGTGTGTGTCTAGGGGTAAGTTTCATATCTGTTTTAGTCTGTAAATTTGTGTTTTTGTCTTGTTCATGCACAACCAACTTTTGGGGTTTTATGAGTCAGGGGAACCTTTCATTAGGAAATTCAAAGAGTTATTTAGAACGGGGGCTGACATAGGGGGGGGGGGGGTAGAAGTGCAGCTGGCGCCTGGCAAAAGATTAGATAAAAGGGGGGTTTATAGGGTTTTTTAATGGTTGTGGGGTATGTATATGGTTTTAATATGGCCCTTTACTATGGTTTCTTTAAAAAAGTCCGGGGTTGTGACAGGGGTTTTTAATATCTTGTATGGGTTTTTTAATTTAACATAATCTTATTTTTTAATTTGCTCTGTTTATAAAATTCAAAAGTAAGGATGGGAAGGTTGGGTTTTTAAAATTTTTGGGGGTATTGTTGTTTGGGTTTGGGGCCCGTTTTGCCAAGTACTTTGACATGCAATAAACTATATTATTTTTTCTGTATATCGTCTGAGTGTATATTAATTTATTTATATAAAAGTATGTGTTTGTGTGTGTATATGTGTAATATATGTATGTGTATGTATTTTGTCATCAATATAAATACTTCTAAAAGACAGTGGATGTTTGGTTGGTTTTTTTGATATTTTTTAAGTTGGTTTTTTTAATTTATGTTTCGAGAGGTATGAATTCCTGTATGTACCATTTTTTTATTTTTCACCCTGGTTTGTTTTGTAAGTAATACAAATTTTGTATAAACAGTTATTTAAATAAAAAAAAAAAAAAACTTTGTTTTTATGTTATGTTATTTGTTTGTCAGTTTTTTTTTTAGTATAAGTCTTTTTTGTTTGTTTGTTTGTTTGTTTTTATAGATCCAGTCGTGCGTAAGAACATATGTGCACATACATTTTGTATATGTGCATTGTAGATATACATATATACTATTATAGGGTTTTCCACATGTTTATGACTCCGACGTTCTGTTTTGTAGTCGGGGATGTTTTTTTTTTTTCCCCTAAAAGGGTTGGGTTTTTACGGTAGAATTTCGTTAATCAAAATGTTAAAAAAGGTTTTTTTTTTTTTTATTGTGTGTTACTGACATTTTCTGTCACGGTTTTGGATTTGCTAAATTTCGGCTTGTATCAGTGTTTTGTTTTTTTTTGAATAAAATATAAAAAAAAAAAAAAAAAAAACCTCAGTAATTCTATGCCGACAGTGTTAATTCGCGTCGCAACCCCCAAACCCCCATTGTGACAGCCCGGCTAGCATTGCGCCTGTCAAGAGGGGGTAGTAAAATCCCCCCCCCCGGCGCGGGCGAGGAATGTAGATAGTCTTTTTTGTAGATAATAAGATGTTTTTCTTTTTTAAATAATAAGAAAATATTAAACCTTTTTTATTTTAAAAAATAAGGAAAAGGCCCCAAGGAAAAAAGTACTGTCGATTTTTTTGGGGTTTTCCTAGGTTTCTACACAAAATGAGGGGTTTATGATAATTCTATTTAAAGTATTTGTGTATACCGAAAAAACTTCTTACAAAACAGGCAAATACGCAGAAAATCAACGAAACGGGGGCGCCCTGCGCAACACGTCCCCACGGCCGGAAAGCGATGAGGACAATTATCAAAATTATTAATGTATACACATGAATGATCTGATGGTTTAGGGTAGGGATGTGGGGAAGGGGAGGGGGGAGAGATTGGCTGGTGAGGGGAGGGGGGATGGACTGCATGGTGAGGGGGGGGGGAGAGGACTGGAAGGTGAGGGGAGGGGGCCAGGGAGTCAATAAGGCACTTGTGGGTGTATTTTTCAGTTACTTTGGGGGGTCTTCACAACATAACACATCCCCATATTGTCCCAAGGTTTGTGGTTAATCATAAATTTTTTTTTTATAAATTTCTACTGAAAAATATTATTTTTTTTTTTTTTAAAAATTTTTAATTAAAATTTTTTAAATGTATAATAGTCTTCTAATTGGGTTGTTAAGTATTTTTTTTAAAACTTTTTTAACTTTTTAAAATCCTTATTTTACTTTTCCCCTAATTGTTGAACCTTCAGAGTTCCTTTGTACTGACATTTTTTGCAGTTCTAACCCCATAAAGGGAACTTGCTTTTAAGCCATACTGCATAAAGCATTTTAATACTTTCTTCTCATTTTTGAAGTACTGAAATACTTTGTTGTCTTAATTTTAATTTTTAATATTCTTACTTTTCTTACAATGGGTGTCAACCTGGTACTCTACTAATAGCTCTCGGCTCTGGTAGGGAACTTCAAGCCCCTTACCCTGACAACTTAAAAAGGGTTTGTGTGTACCCAGAAAACCGAAAAATCGCCCCCCCCTCAAATAGCTTACGTTAAGATACATTTTTTTTTTCTTAGCCCATAGGGGTTAGGAAGTAAACTTTAACCCTTGTTTAAATTTCTATAGTTACGTGTACTTTTTTAAACGCTCGCTTCCCTAAAATTTTTAGGTTTCAAGGCCAACGTAGGGATTCGAAGTATCCCCCACGTTGTTCCTACGCAAAACTACTTCAACCGTCATTGATCAGGGATTAACTGATTAAAGTAAATTCGGAATAAAACATTTTCTTTTTATAATTGTACGAATCTTACCCTTTTTTGTACAGTAACTCACAACTGGGAAAATACAAATCAGATGTTTTGGGCCGGATCAAACAAAAAAGACACTAAAAGTCACCCAAACTACAACACACTGGGACTTTGTCCCTCAACAACCACGGATAGTGACTTCTGTTATAAGGGTCACTTCAACACCTGTAAGAACTTGCCTGTACTTAAAATTGTGTAATTAATACGTAATGTTGCACTGTAACCTTATTACCTCAATTTCTTCCGCAGGTAGTATTAGTAACTGCTACAGTTGGAGCAAACCCCGTGAGCACAATGGTCTCTATCTTCAGCCAGTTTGTTACTGTCACGGACACTGTTAAATACTGGCAGACAATAACTCATGTTGACGTCACGCACCAGATTCAAACTGTTCCTGTTGTGACTACCCAAGATTTGTTGCAAGAGATCGTAACTACTGTAACCCAGATTGTTACTACTACTGTCACCTCCACAACTGCCCGTTACTACGGTTAACTTCAGTGACTCCCCTGCTGACTTTATTTACTATTTAAATTCTTGAATTAATATCGGCTGTAAACATTAAAGTTTAAGTCCTAGAAATGCTTTTTAACACATGATTAAACTTCAAGCTTTACTAATTTTAAAGTTTCTTGAATAAGGCAAACTTACTTCCTATAATTTTCCAAACTAAAATAACGAAAGTTGGGTTGGAAAGAGGTAAAAATTTGACTAGTTTGGTACTTCATTAATTTTTTTTTTTTTTAACATTTATCCTTTAAAGTACAACCTTTAATATCAATGTTAGTCATAAAAGACAACACTTGCGTAAATAACCTAGGATTACCCGGAAGTCGATGACTTATTGCACTTTGATTCCACTTTACACTATTTTTAGAACTTTGATCCACTACAAATTTCCTAGCAGTTTCCTGTAGACTTTTTTATTTTTTTTTTTTAAGCACTGTATCAGATATACCATTGACTGCGTAAAGTTTAGCACTACCCACAAGTTTGTCGAAAACAAAATTTAACTTAAAATTTTGTTAAATCTACTTCATCTTAGACCTGCAGTCATAATTTTCTTGCGTACCAAGTTTATTTCTACTGCAACCTAGAGGTTGCAGTTAATTGCACATCTTAATGATGCACGTTCATAGAACTTCATTTTTCTTATTGGCTTAAAACTCCAACACGACTGGAGGAAAGATTGGGTTTGTACACTCCTTGGGGCAGTTTAAGAGGCTTAATCAGAAATTGGACACTTGGTATCCCTTATCCCGTTTAATCTCATTCACCCCACTCCCCCTCCCACCCCCGTAGTCTCTAGACACCTCGGTAGTCTCTTACTATCAGTGATAGGTGACTGGCAGCTCCACCTCCCATCACTGCTCTTCGTCGCTCATACACCATCTACAACACTTATCCGTTACTTTCACATACTTTTAAACTCTAGTCCAGGCACTAGCTTCATTGCCAATATAATTTTCTAATGACTATGGTATCTTGGAGGCTCCAGTGGTAGTCGGTGAGCTGGGTGTTGATCTGTTAAGGCTAACCTAAATTGTGCTGCCGTTAACCCCTTTCTAGTTCAATTTGATTACATTAATAGACCACATTTTTTATTTATGGAACTTCAGTGAAAGGAGTTTTAGTATAGGTTTGACTCGTTCATACTTGCCTGAATGTATTAGTTATCTGCTCTTACAACCTTTAACTACCAGCCCCTCTACTCTCGGATCACATTAAAAAGTACATTACCTTGCAGGAATAGCCTGATTGTAGTTGCCTGGGCGTTCATAGCTACTGGCCCTACCTCTTCACTGGTCGCTGCTAGGTCACTGCTCCATGAGGTTTATCTTGAATCTTAAACCTACGTCAGGATCCTGCCCCCCCCCCCAGTTCAACACTTGCCAGACTGCCACTTAACTGAAATCCTTCAACACCTGTGATCCTTAACTTTTGACCCTTTCCTGCCGTGTCCCGTCTTTAACATTCTGCCTGTCCTCGTTACTTCTATTTGTAATTGTCTCCCTTTCTTCCTGTCCTCAAGTGTCTGGTCTTTCCCTTAACCTCTCCTCGTAGGACATGCCCCATAGCACCGGGGCTAGTCTTGCTGCAAACCTATAAGCTCTCTCGGTTTTCTTGCATGCTTGACTAGATGTGGGTTCCAAAATGGTGCTGCACATTAGATAGGCTGTAACATGGTGTACAGGGTCAAGTAATATTAGGATGTCTGAATGACGTAACTAAACTTGCTAGGCGCCCGTACACTGCACCAGTTATTTGGATGTTTAAGTGTCGGGTGTTAAACTCGCCCAAAAATTCTTTTCCTCTAGCGAGGCTTGTCTGGGCTCTATACTGTGTTCAGTCTCTACCCTTTCCCAATCTTCACGACTATGCACTTGGGATTGAACCTAAGGAGCCAGTTTCTAGCCCAGGCCTGCAGCTTGTCTAGATACCTTTTTTGTAGTAGTGTCCGGTCATCAACTGCATTCTTAACTTCACATCTGCAAACAAGGACAACAGAGTATCCCTTAAATGTCTTTCACAAACTACAAACAGCACAGGTCCTAGCACTGACCCCTGCAGAACACTCCAATCTTGACGCTGTAGCATACCATAACTCTCATCAACCTGACAAGTATTCCCCATCCCATTGCAGTGCCTTCCCCGTTATCCATACCTTGTCCTCCAGCTTGTGCACTAATCTGTTGTACTGTCAAACGCCTTCTTAGTCAAATAGTGCAATCTTCCCACCCCTCTTGTCTAGTGCTGAATGGCAATTTTGTATATAACTGCTTGTAACTTGCATACTGCTCGATGTTCTACCTAGTTTAAAGGTCTTTTATACTCCATAGGCCGTTTCACATGTTAAAAGTATATAAATCTTGCACAAATAACCCAGAGGCGCTTACGACGTTTCGGCCAGACTTGGACCATACACAAATAACCCGCACATAAGCAGCTTACGACGACGTGTGACTGTCAATGGTCCAAGTCGGACCGAAACGTCGTAAGCTTCTTTCATGTGCGGGTAATCTGAGTATCGTTCCAGTCACGGTATTGTGCCTTTGATATTTATTTAGACTTGGACCATTTAGTCACTATATAAACTTTGATTGGTTGTGAACTGGTGATGTTCCTCAAAATATTCACGTGGCCAAGCAGCTCACTTTTTGAGGGAGGGGATAGGGGAAGGGAGGTTCCACGAGCTGTAGTGGTAACGAGCTGGTGGTAGCGTAGATCAGAAGTGATGGTAGGGTAGGAGCTGTGATGAGCAGAAGATAGGAAAAATGCAGCTAATTGAGAATACTGTACTAGAAGCTTCATTACGAGGAATGCAAAATTTCTAAGCTTAATTTAGTGGCAAGGAAGGGAGCAGACATCAGTGGTGGGGATGGGGGGGGGGAACAGTTTCGGTGAAACAGTAACAAGGAGAGCCTTTAAGTGATTTACCCCTCAAGGAAGGTTCCTAGATGTTGGTGAGGGGCTCTTGATTTAGGGAATTGGATTTGTGCTCCAGTTCCCCGAATTAAGCCTGAATGCCTTCCACATCCCCCCCTCCCCAGGTGCTGTATAATCCTCTGGGTTTAGTGCTTCCCCCCTCCCCCTTGATTATAATAATTTAAGTGATTTAACTTTAAACTTTGAATAATAACCTCGCAGCTCAAGAGACCAGAAATGGAGTAGTCGATTGGTATTAAGTGTAAACATAATTTTAATTGATATGAAAGTAAGCTTGTCCTTTCAAAACTACAGAAATTCCTGTAGCAACTTTCTTAATGATGAAATATTTTAGATAAATAATTTTTTATAAATTGCCTCTCAACACAGATCAAGGGGGGCATGACCCCTCCCTCGTTCTCACGCTGCTAGAGATGTTTGGGAATGGATCGTACATCATACTCGTGACCTCAAGGGGATAGGGGGCCTCCATGGCCAGGTGACCTCTTCAAGGGGGGTTCCTTGGCATGAAGAGGCTCTTGGTCTGAGGAATTACACCTGTCGGTCTCCTTCCTCAGACCGAACCTAATTACCCCCCCTTCCCTATCCCATCCTCCCCTTTTTCCTTTCCTCCACCCCACCCCTCCCTTTTGCCCTTCCTTTTTGGCCTTTGGGATTTTTTTCCCACAGGTGCACTAGTTCCTAGGTAGGGGAAAGGGTACTGGGGTCCATCCCATTCCATTGAGGTTCTTGGTGGCATAATTTGCCGTGGAATCTGGATTGCCTGGGGATGTCCCGATCCCTCTGGTATCCCGGAGGGTGGCTTTGGGTGTCTTTCGTGCGACGGGTGTATCTCTGGAAGCCACCTTACAGATTCTGGGGGTGGTGGCCGAAGGAGGTATGCTTTGTGGAGGATATCCGGCCGCCCTCTTTTGTCCACCGAGGTAGCTCGGCAGATGTGAGGTTGCTATCCCAGATTGCTGGTATGATGGGTAGGGTATGGCACGGGTTCCATGCTGCATCTGCGCTACTTATGGTGCTGAGGTCCTCTTGGGCGTGGAGGGATATTTCTGGCCCTTTCATTCCTCCTAGGAACTATCCTTCCCCATTCCCCTTTTTTTTTTCTTAAAAAAAAGTAACCAAACCATGGAGTCCCAAATCCATGACCCCGCTACCCCCAGACCCCTTGTTGCTGCACCCTGTTCTGATCTCGTCTCGTCCTTTGGCCACTCTTTGGACACTCCTAAGGCCCCTGTACCTCTTGCTGGTACTATTTCCTCACCCTCTTCAGGTACAGGGGCTTCCATTGACTCCTTCGATTTGTCTGACCTCCACACTCCTTTGTTTCCGGCCTCTCCCTCTATTGTGCGATGATTTTCGAATCGCCAGCCCATCTCACGTCGGACCGACTCTGGTCTCGCTTTTAAACGCCAACGACAATCTCCTGATGTACGTTACCTTCCCATTCTACTCAGAAAAGACCGACACGTCATGCACTCGCTCTCCACACTCAGATTCGGACCACACAATGGACTAAATTCTTTACTTTACGACCGACTTCTACTGCCTGTCTTTCTGACCATAGCATTGGCAAAGCGCTCCTACGCCACGTTGGTAGATATATTTCCTTTCATGCTCTTAAGAGTGGTATGTGCATCATCACAGTACAGAATTCTACCCAAGCTCATGATCTTTCTCTTTCACATATCGATACTATTCCTATCACTATCGAAAAACATTCCCTCAATTCTTGTAGTGGTACTGATATTCTGCCCCATACCATAGTCCAACAGAATTTCCAGACATGTGGCAATGATATTCTCGAACAGCTTGAACTCCAAGATCTCTCAATTCTCAAGGTAGGCATTTATGTTCTTCCTGCCCGCGGGCAAAGACTATACCCTTGCAATGTAGCTCGTTTAACTTTCGACAGCCGTGAACTCCCATTCTCTATGTAGCAGGACATCGGTTAAAAGTTCGGAAGGTGATCCCTACACCACAACAGTGTAGGAAGGCTTTTGAAAAAATTTGGGGTTTGGTTTTTTTTTGGTGTTTTTTTAAAATTTGGGTTTTTTTAAGCTGGGTATTTT